TTTGTCTTTTTTTATTAAAGTCACTTTTGTCTTTTTTTTTTAACTCGAGAAAAATAAGTATTTCCCTCCCCCTGCCCCTACCCAAAAAAAAACACCCTTTCGCTTGCAAACAAGTTGGTCAAATAGCTTTATAAAGTTTATAGAAAAATTAATAATCCAGCTCCTAGAAGACCTATTTTGCTTGTAGACAAGATAGTCACATAGCCTCTCAATGTCCATCTAGAGCCCTTAGACAGATCAAAGAAAATTTTCAGAATGAAGAAATCTAGATGGCTTGGAGCATAATAAAATCAGAAAAAGAACTTGAAGAGGCCTTCAAAGAAGAAAATGTATATGTCCTCGAAAATGACTAAAAAAGATAGTTGTCCACTCGAAGAAGACATAAAACATTGAAGTGAATTTTATTATTTCTATAGTTTTACTATTCATCAACTTTTCATTATTCATTTACTTTTTTTAAAAAGTAGAAACTATTAATTTACCGTTTATTTACTTTTTGAATAGTAACTATTATTAATTTATTTTTATTAAAAGATATAAAATTTATCATTATTTAGATTTTTAATATTCATAGATTTTTAATATTCATAAGCCTTTTTGAGGTGATCCTATATACCTCCAGATGTTTGAAAAGCCTATGGAACCATGTTCATAATAAAGGTTAAAGAACCCCCTAATTCTTCTTTTGTGCTTTTCTTTCTCGAAAATACTCTTCCTTTTTCACTTATTTCTTATGGTCTAAATAACGTTTTCTTTTCCTTTTAATCTCATCAACTCTCACTCCAATGAAAAGTGAGAGGGAGGATATTTATTATTTACTCCTATAAATAAAAGAATGGATAATAGGGTAGAGAGAGAAAGGGAGAGGCTCATAAAGTAGAGAGAGAAAGGAAGAAGGGTAGAGAGAGGAGGGGGAAAGGTACTAGGATAGAAGAGAATAAGAGATGTTTAGAGGGTAGAGAGAGAGGGAGAAGGGTAATAGGATAGTGAGAGGGGAGGGTGGTGATCGATAAATAGCAAAAGGGAGGGGGAGGGTCATGGGGTAGAAAGAGAAAGTGGGAGGGTCATGGGGTAAAGAGAAAAGAGGGAAGGTTCACGGGAGTGAGATTTGATGGGATTAAAAGGAAAAGCAAAAATGATTTGGACATTTTTGAAAAAGGAAATGGTAAAATAAAGATTCTTCTTTGACATTTTTTATAAACTTTTTGGGGGTACATGGGATCTCCACGAACCTAGGGGTATATAGAGGATTGTTAGTTTTAAAAGGGGCCATATATCTTTTTCTTTAACAAAGGGAAATGTAATTTTCACATGTATATTTGTTGGAAAATTGTTTCATGCGGGTTGGATGCATTTTTTACATACGCGGTCCAATTCATTTTAAAGGTGGATACAAATATGTGGTCTATCTAAAAACAATTGAAACCAACGCTTCAAATGTTTTTTTAATAGAATTATTGTTTTAGTTTTAAAAATTTATTTATTTATTCATATTCATGATCTCCAATGTTAAAAATTACATATCTTTAAAAGTTAAGTAAAAAAATCCATATAAAAAATAGATTTATTAAGAGGGCCGCATTTCTACGTTGTGGACTTGGCTCGCATGCTAACCGCGTCTATGTTTGTTTATACTCACATTTAGGGCGCGTTTGATACATAGAGTTTTTGTGAGTGGGAGGGACTCTCTCACAAATTATGGAAGATAGGTCTTTTATCTTTTTGATGGAAGGGACGTCTTCCAAAAATAAACCTATTTTAATAATAAAAAAAAACTGCATGAAAGGCTATCTTTCTATTTTACAACTTCCACATATTAATATCAAACATGAAAATGAGACATTTAAATCCCCCATATAAAACCCCCATTTATCAAACTGGTAAAATTTGGCACTTTTGTGGCCGGTCTTGTAACCTTCTCGACATCATCGTTTTTGACTCTTCCATTAAGATAAGGACCATGTAACTGGCACCTATGTCATAATCCACGTGGCAAAATATATGATCACCACGTCGCACAATGTCTCGTTGCTAAATATAGCTTGGATATTGTAGCTAGAACGATATCTATTTATTGGTAATTGCCGGTTGCTCTAAATTTCATCTTATTATTATTCTTTTTTTTTTAAATTTTGAACAATAAAATTTAATATTTTATAAAAAAATTGATTCGACCAAAGTACTCGGTCCTTGTTGCACATAAGTACCTATATTTAAATCATGGCATACTTCGGACTGAACCCCTTCAGACTAAGTTGAAAATAACTTGGCCGAGTTGATTTTTCAAAGAGTGAGGATCCAAGCTTGGGCATTGACTTATAAATGTATCCGTATTTTTTTTTAAAATTTATCTAATAGATATTCTTGAACACCATTACTTGTGCGGATTGTACTTTAAATGTTCATATCTCAAAAGTCACACACATATAAGGACCATTACTTTGCCATTAGCTTAAAGGCACGTTTGGTACATATGAAAATATTTTTGTAAAAGTATTTTCACATAAAATAACTCCTCTATATGATTAGGTATGAGTGTCTTTTCATGCTAACTGATTACTAATTGGTGTGAAAAAATGTGTTGGGATCAAATGATGTGAAAAAACTCCCAAATCTAAATTATATGAGGGATTCTTCTATGTAAAACTACTTTCAAGAAAATATTTTGCACTTATTATAGGTTCCCTTAAAGAAGCTTATCAAGCTATAACTAACATTTGCAACATTTAATACATGGGATTGTATACAATGAGACCATTTACCTTTGATACAAGGTGGTCACAATTCCTTGCAACCATTTGATATGAAATTTGATAACTTAGATATGTCACAAAGTGTGAGAAAATTTATTTTGAAGTTTGAACTTGGTCAATGGAATAATTGCATCCACCCAAATTCACATCCAATAGTCAAGATTAATTTGACCACTTTGTATCAAAAGTAAATGGTCTTATTCTATACTTTCCCTTGATACATTCTCTATATTTCCTAATCTATTTCAAATTGCCCATCATTCTTTTGATCAAATTTCAAACAGTCTATCACATGGCATGGGTTAGAAATTTATCACCTAGGATTAAATATTTACGTCTACTTTTTGGCATCAAGCGGTCAAAATCACTATTGATCATTGGATGTAAAATCGAAGAGCTGAAATTATGTGATTGATTGGGAACAAAGATCAAAATAAATTTCTTTAAACTTTGTGACACATCAGTTGTTAGACTTCATAGACGGTAGCTAAAAGTGATTATAGCCTCCTTTCGTTAAAACATAATTGGTCACATAATATACATTCCCATTATTGAATAGTACTACTTTTAGGTGTTTTTTTGATAAATTTTGTAGGTCTGTAAATTCCAAAGGTTGTTGATTTTAGCATAATTTAATGATCGAAAAATACCGTTATTTTGCCGAAATTCATTCTGGTGAGGATCACCGGCTAAACTGGTTACCCTCCTTTCTCATCAGTTCAATCTCCACCTATAAATATGTGTGCGTGTGGGAAGCTTGTAACCAAAAATGGCAAGCTTGGAAGCAAAGGAGGAGACTGTCACTGAACCCAAAACGGGGGTTAACTTCCCACGTGCATTGCACGATGGTTTAGAGATGATGGGAGTGGGCTTGAGGAAGAAGAACTTGCTTGGTCTTGTTCCCCTCAAAATCTATGCCTTTGGTACCTCTTTTTCTCTCTTTTTCTGTGTCCATCTATTTAAATGTATGGATAACAACGGGTTGGGTCCGGTCCGGCCCTGGCCGAGCCTAGGTCCGAATTCACCAGACCCAGACCCAAAAATATAGTGTGGGCCCGAACGTGACCCAATAATTAAAATATTTATATATTTAAATATATTTCATATATTTGGACCTGAAAAATATTACCTGAACCATACGTGATCGGACCTAGGCCTTCAAAACAAAACCACGAATGCTCCTTAGATCACTACGCATTCTCCACGTGTTAAACCCTAATATGTTTTCCAATGCCACCACTGATTTTCTAGGGATTACACAATTGCTAACATTCTCATTATCTCTTTTTATCTAGCATTAACACCCACATATTATCGGATATAAGAGGAGTATAAAGTGCAAGAGTGTAAGTGTTCGGGTATTCTGTACTCTGCAGGAGCACACTGTATATTTACGTATACTTCAATTTTTATTATGAAAAAGAAAAGGGCAACATTAGCTTGTTTGGGCAAAACTTTTGGCTAATGTCATGAGGATCGAAGCGACCACCAAACCTGTAAGGCGTTAGGTCCGGTCAGTAGTGGTTTGAACATCAGTTGAATCGATCAGACTAGATTTAAAAAATATTTAAAAAATATGAATAATAATTTAAAAATATAAAATATATTAAAAAATTGACTCAATTTTTTAATCGGGTGAAATCGGTTGGTTGAACAAGCCAAAACCGATTAAACCCAAAGTTGACCACTTTTTTACCAAATAAAATTTTTACTTTTGACCATATTTGATTGATTAGACCGCTGGTTCTTTCTGATGGCTATGCTTTTGACCTCCCTCACCCAAACATGTATTTATACCACTAAGTCGAAGCCTAAGGGGCAAACAACAACAAATCGATACACAAACACGGTTGTCTAAGATTTCAAATCCAGTCATCCAAAAAATATGGTCATATAACTTTTCAAATTCACACATCTGAGTAAAAAAGATGCACCACAACCTGAGATTTGCAGTATGATGCAGGAATCTATGCAGATAAAGAAAGATTGAGAGAGATCGTAAAGGCAAAATTCGAAAGCGCTCCGAGTGAGCCAAAATCCGAGTTATACAATGTCGCAATAGATGCGGATATGGCTACTGTGGCAAGGTTGGTGGTGGTTTATGGAGGGTTGAACATGGGTACAGTCCGAAAGATTTTCAATGACAACCTCGGTGCATCCATTAAAAAGCTTTCCCAGGGTGAGAACAACGACGAGCTCTTACAAAGGTAAATAAGGCACTGTATAGTATATATATATATATATATATATATATATATTATGGGAAGATTTCTATTCGGTTATTTGGTCCCACCTATATATATATATATATCAGCCGTTAGATATGAGTAGATGACTGACATGGCTTGAGTTACAATATCACAAATTGACTCTTAACTGTCAAGATTTGATCGGATGGCTCAGAATTTTTTATCTTTAATTTTTATTCTGTAAATCATTTTGAAACGAAATTTGGGGATGTATAGATTTAACCGGGGTGCACAATTACTTTTTTTTTTTTTTTTTTCTTTTCTGATGAGAAAAATTACTAAAGTACCCCTGAAAATTTTCAGGGAATTTTGGTCATTATTTTTTGTTGGTTATATTTTTTTTTTTTTAATTTTTTCAGATTCACACTAATTTTACGATGGGAGGCCCAAAATTTCACCGAGAAAGGTTTTCTTTAAAAAAAAAAAAAAAAAACAAATGTTTGGTGTGACATTGTGGTGTAAACAATCGCAGCCGTCGATTCAAATCGAACGATTGAGAAGTGAGGTGCAATATATGTTTTTAGGGACACGTAGAAAGCACTCGATAGGCTTTGGGTTTTGTTCATCCCTTCTCATGAAGATTAGGTTCCATCGTTTTTTGCTCCAAATCAATGAGCATTTCATATCTGAATTCTTCGCAGGGTTTTAGGAGAAGTAAGGGAAGATTTAAAGCTCCCACCGGGCTCCGTTATAGAGATTGCCAAACTCCCGGGTTTTGTCCTACAAACTAAAGGTGCAAACCTATGAACCATACTCTCAACTCTCTCTCTCTCTCTCTCTCTCTGTCTCTTATGCATGTAGTACTCCATTTTTGGTGTTGTAGTGATGGACGAGGTAGTGAGCAGAGTGGAGAGCGAGGTGTTGTGCAGGGCTTATTTCAACATGTATTTGGGGGATGACCCACTTGACCCGGAGGCCAAGGACCGATTTGGACGCTCTCTACTCTCCCTTTTCAACAACCAATAATACCCGTGTTCCCTCGGGTTTATACCTAAATAATACATGCTGCAAGAGAGGGAATTGTACCACTTATGTGTTCTTTCTCCCATCCCTATCTTCATTCAGTTAAATATTGAGGACTTTATTTTATGATGAATTTATAAATTTCAGTTCACTTCAGGATGTTGCATAACTGCCATTTGTAGGGCTGTAAAATAATGAGCTATAATCTCTTTTTATTTTTATTAATGAAAATGGGGTAGGGGCCTTCTCCCCCAATGATTTACCCAAAATAACAATAATCTATAAATACTGGATACTCCTTTTTTTTTGAAATGTATTCGAAGATTCTCTTTTAATGGTGCTAGCTAGTTATGCAGTGAAGCTTGTTGCTTTAGGAAGGTTTTCACTGCTTGGCAATTTAAGTCCTTAGAGGAAAATTCTTCCATTAAGCGTTTCCAAAAAAACATTAACCCTTAAATTAATTGTGGGAAAAGATTATATGATCTTTCTCGATGGCTTAGGTGGTATGGTAGTCCAGAAAACATAGGCGATTTCTCTCATTTGGAAATCTTCATATCATCTTTGATTCACCTTGCAAATGACTTCGAAGACTAAAAAATGGAAAGGCTTTTGAGCTTTCAAAAGCCTTGAATTTGTGGTGCCTTACAAAAACCATTAAAGTTGTTTGTCATTTAGAACCGGTCAATGTTTCAGAAATTGCTCATCTAGACTGGAAATCTGTGATCCAAATTAAGGATTCGTGAGGACCAAACTAGTTCCTAATTAGAATTGGGAACCAGTCTGACTTTGATTGACTCACCTTGTTCTGTCAGTGAGCTGCCGATCTGGATTGACTGAATCACCCGATGCCCTCCTGATTCGGCCTTTCGATCTGGTTATTAAAGCATTGGAGTTGGTCTCTGATTTGGCAGTCAATTTTTTTTTTTTTTGACATTGATAGTAGGAGTAATTAAAATAGATATGAGTTTTCAGGTGAAAACATTTCATCTAGCATTCATGTAACTAAACACCCCAATCCTCTGTTTTGCTAAATTTTTGTGACATGTTGATTACATTTGATGGCTATGGTGTGTCAATGACTATGCCAAATAGTTAGTGCACCCATTATACACATTTTCCTCTACGACTTTTCTTTTATCTGTATACTGCATGTTATCTCCATCACCTTGTGATGGTGGAGAAGAAGTTTTCCTTTGGGAGTAAGGTTGGGGCATTCGCCTCAACATAACATCTCCTTTCATTTCCACTATTAACATATTAAAAAAAGAAAATAAAGTCTTCCTCTACTCGAGAGGATGATACAGTATGAAGGGTTCATCTCTACCTTTGAGATAGACTATGCAGTCCTGCATGTAGCTGGTCCAAATGTTTTCTTAATAGAATTATCATTTTTAGTTTTCAAAATTTATTTATTTATTTATTCATGTTCATGATCTCCATATTCAAGTTTATATATTTTCTAAAAATTAGGATATAAGTCTATACTAAAAATAAATTTATTAAGGGGTATGCATTTTTACATGTGAGGGCTTGGCCGCATGCTAACCATGTCTTTAAGAAAATTTATGATTTTATTGTACACCCCAAATCGATCATCTTGACTTTGAAAATTATGGATTTAGAAATGAAAACATATTACCAGCTCTAAAAGTAATGTATCCCATAAAACCTTATTTGGCCCGATCATTTTCAAGTATTCTCAGATTAGTTTAATGTATACCTTTTTTGGGGCTTCGAATTTCATAATAAAAGAAAGAAATAGATTTTCAACCCATCATAAAGGCTAGCATACTGCACTGTCCAATATTACTTTTGGAGTTTCAAATTTCATAATGAGAGAGGAAATAGATTTTCAGGTCCTCATAGGGGGTGTACAACATGGTACTGCAAGGTGTTGAGGGGCGACTCTGACTTTTTCCGTATTCATCCAGGTATTACTTATTGGAAAATCGGACCTGGAAGTCACTATTCCCATGGAAAATGCCATGGCTGATCACACTTGCCATGTCCATGTCATTCCCATGACCATGGCCATCCATGATCATGCCACCATCCCATGGTCACCGTTTCGATGGACAATGCCATTGCAGATCACACTCGCCATGTCCATACCATTCCCATGATCATGGCCGCTGTAGTGACGAGTCTATGCCATCAACTCATTTGAGGAGGATTTCCGGGGCCATTTATATGGGGTGAATATCCTTGGGTTCCGTACATTTGGTGACTGAACTGTTCACCATGTTTCTTCTACATGGGCACTTGACCACCAAACCTGAAAGTCTACCAAAAAATAAGAATATCCCTAGAATTTATGCATTGTTTGAGAGTAGTAATATAAGTGAACACATCAAATTGACATTTCAAGACAACAAAGTATGATTCTTTAATGCTGCTCTCTTCATATGTACACAACAACATTAATTGTCTTCATTAACCAACATATAGAAATACTGGTAAAGATATGGTGAGTGGGAACTTGAGTCCGATTTTTTAAATACTAAAATAAGAAAGAACAATTGTAGATACCTTCTTCGACTATACTTTTGAGGCTAGGGCAAGGCTAGGCATTGCTCCATCCTAATACTTGTTAAACCACACTTTTAATTCCAATATTATTTATTATTATATCTACATCCTAGTATGAAAGTTGTCTTTAAAGGATGAAAATACCTATGTGTATTTAACATAGTTTTCCTATCTAAAAACTTAAAGTTCGAAATTTTAGAGATAAAAACTATCTCAAAATTTTTAGAGTGAAACTATCTCAAATTTCAACTTTTAGTGAGAAAAATTATCTGAGAAACCATCTCAAATGTCATGTTTTAGAGAGAAAAAATATATCAAAATATTTAGAAAGAGAAATTATTTCAAGTTTTAATTTTTAGATAGAGAAACACTAAAAATTTTGAAGTCTTAAAAGGTAATGAAAGGATGGAAAAATGTGGGTTTATACATGAGGTATTTTTGTCCTAAAAATCTACTTTCTCGTCGATGGAAAAATAAATAATGTTGAGATTAGTTATGAGGTTTAAAAAATATTGATGGTGAGCAAACTAGAAAGAATAATCTAGGGGCTATCTATAATGTTCCCGATATAGAATAAATTCCAATAATAGCAACACAAGTGTGATTCCCACTACCGAATTAATCGTAAGATATCTAACTCTATGTAAAACTCAATTTGGCTTCGGGCTAGGAAATGACAGGTTAACTCGAATGGGGTTTGGTTTTTGGACCTGATAGGTCCACTTGTCAGGATTTAAGTGTGGTTCTAATTCTAGGACCCAGTAAGTCAGATCCAGGTCACCCCATAGTTGGGTTGAATCCGAGTTGGTCCGGATCTTACCCGACATATTCTTGATATTTTATATTAGAGAACCATATTCTATAAAACTCTATTTCACTCTAGTGAAGAGGACAAACCTTATTTCGCTCTGGTTAATATAGCGTGGCCAAAGGCTCCTGAGAACATGTAGGATTCCATATATATTTGGGCGGTGTACCCACAGGTGCACCACAATTCTTTCTAGCTCTCTTTAGATGGGGTATAGTTACATGCTTCCAAGGAAGCACAAGAAGTTCACAAGAAGTTCACCATACCAAATTCTATATAGCGATAGTTTTTGGATCAAAACACTCTACAGGTCTATCATCTTGACCATTATGATCATGAACTTTTAAAAAATAACTCTTAAACTACAAGAACGATCTATCTTTTACCTTTTTTCAGATCTGATTTTTGAAGCTCCAATTTGATGCAAAATCGGAATCGTATAAATTTTGGAATTCTTGAAAATGTGGGTGACTGCATGCCAAAAACCTCATATTACACTCCTTTTTGTGGCTCCATTTTCACATGTATAGGTACTCAAGTTAGATGGCAATTCACTTGCAAATACATGGCCTAATCAGGAAACTTATGATGCGTTTAAAACATGGAGTGTTAGGGAGTGGAAGAAACTCTCCCACAAATTATGGAAGATTGCTCTTCCAATATTTTTGATGGAAGAGAGGTCTTTTAAAAACAAACCTATTTTAACACTATAAAAAAGCTGCGTAAAGGCCGTTTTTCCATTTTACAGCATCCGCACAGTAATATCAAACATGGAAGTGGGACATTTAACTCCCACTTCCAGAAATTCTCACTTATCAAACACGAATGACGTGTTGGACAAGTGGAAATTTCTAAAAGTAAGAATTGAGTGTCCCAATTTCACCTTTGATATTACTATGTGGAAGCTACAAATTGGAAGGGCGGCCTTCAATGCGGCTTTGTTTTAGCGCCAAAATGGATCTAATAGTTTTGGAATATCTCAATTCTATCAAAAATAATTCTCACTCTTGAAATCTAAAAATAAATTTCACTTCCAAAAACTCCGTGCACCAAATGTGCCCTTAGTGGGGGTGGGGGGAGAGAGAGAGAGGGAGGAGGAAAGGGAGGTACATACTAAACCTTTCGCTTTTTAAATCTGAATTTTTCTCCGATCGATATAAGCTTATAATAAGCGTAAGTTCGAAAGCCAAGAAGCAACGGCTAGTGCAAAAGCTGTTACGCATTATCGCATCTGTTTTCTTGCTTGTTTTCACTGGCTCGAATAGCAAGAAGCAAAAGCTAATGCGAAAGCTGTTGTACGTTAGTGCATCCGTTTTTTTGCTTTTCTCAAAGGCTCATGGTGAATTCAATGTATAATTGTATACCTTTCACTGACTTTAAATAAGGAACATGTTGCTATACTTAGATTCACATGCGCAATCCAAATTAAGGATTAAAGATAACACCTTAATAAATTGTCATTGATGATGTATTAAGGCGTGTTGGCATTTCATTAATATATAGACAATTTAAGCATTCTAGATAACACCTTATTAATGATGTCCATCAAAATTAAAAAGAAGAGATCGCCATGTAATTAGTTTACCTCATATTTAGTGAAATTTTTTTGTGGGTGTGCTTATTTGACCGGGCATTATTTATTGGTATTTAAACCCTTCTCTTTAAA